AGGGATACCAAAGTCTTCGTAATAGAGTTATTACAAAGTGGCTTGTAATAAAGTATTACAAGTTAGTGAGGGATTAAGAGGTTAATTCCTAGGTTGCATAGGTTGTAATCTGAAGTTTGCTTGGTTTAGTGGAGTTGAAATCCTACTAGGGTAGGTCGTGGTTTTTAATCCCTTGAGTAAGGAGTTTTCCACGTAAATATCGCGTATTCTTTATTTACGACTATTTGGTTTTATAGTCCGTTGCTTACTGTGAGAACTGATAAAAAACCTGGTTTTCTATACAGTTTGGTGGACGCTTAGTTTCTATCATTTCCTGTTGGTTTGGCTATTTATAAATAAAAAATCTAGTATTTCGAATCGAACTAACACATATTGACCGATCTGGATATACATCTTTAGTATCAGTCTTTACGTCTAGTGGTAAATTTAGATTGAAAGTAATGGTGCATCAGCAACTTCTTGATTTTGGATCTGCCTCTGCCGAGATATATGTGCTATTTTTATAAGATCGTAGTGATAGTATCAAAATTCTTTATACCACTGAATTTAACTTATACTCATCATAATACCTTAAAGTAAATATTAAATTTTGAAGGGAAATAAAAGTAATCATGAATAGTAAATCTTGGAAGAAAAATGTTCATGTTGTTGTATTTAGGTTGGTTTCTGAAATTATTTGGGCTGCATTGCTGTGAAGAAAACAAGATAACGTGCTATTATTGAAATATTTTGCTTCATTTTCTTTTTTTAATCTCTTTTTGGAGCTCCCATGTATAAGCACACATGGCTTCATCAAGGTTTACAATTACCAATCATTGAAGGAAGACGAAAAAGAGAGTACTCCCAAGTACTTATTATCCTCAATTTTCACTAAACAAACAACAATAAAATAGATAATTTGTTTCAAGAACTTTCTTGGAAGATCTCCGCACGCATGATGTGAATGTGGATCTTATGAACTGCAAGTAGGGGAGGAGGCAGTAATCGGTTCGGCAAAATCTAGTAACTTTGGCCTAGGCTCAATATTTGTATTATAGAGACACTAAATTATAAAAAATGAAATTCAAAATCTAGTTACTAACGTTTAGATTTTATTGTATTAAAATTCAGAACCTATAAAAATTTAAATTTTGGATTCGGAATCTGAAAGTATTGTCAAAAGCATGTTGATTACCGCCTTAATGCTCCTCAATTAGCAAACATTTTGTCTGCATAGGCGACAAATTTAATACCGGCTAGAATGGCATTTTTCCCCTCCCGTGCATGTATTTGCATGGTACCAACTATTATAGGCTTTTTTCTTTTCTTTTCATAAGAGATAATTCACAAACAACAATATATTTATTACTACGTACTTTATCAACTAATCAATCAATGTATTTCTTGCATCCTTTTTATGTATTTTTCATTTGGGAGGAAGTTTCCTAGGGGACAAATTTTGGTAACCTTAGCTGTTGCCAATTAGAGGACAACAAGTCCGTACAAAGAAGGATCCTTCTGTCCTTTTTCCTCAGAGATCTCAGATCTCACGTACTAATCCATCTTCTCATCACCCAAAACTTCCTTTCTGTATTTAGCTATAAAGTGTAGATATAATTAACAAGTGTACAATCCCATCTCAAATTCCCAAGCAAAAGTCCAAAGCTCACAAATATCTTCAGAATATCAATTCCTTTTCTCCAAGAAAATTCAATGGCCCTTCCCAATTTTGATGCTCTAAAGGACTTGCACGACTCAGCCAACGACATGCTTCACTCACCAGTAATCAAACGAGAAATAGCACATCAAGGACAAGAGAAATGGGCTCATGAAGTTTCAGAAACGTCTTTAAGAATGCTGGACGTTTGTGGTACAACCAAAGATGTCCTTTTGCTAGTTAAGGATCATGTCCATGACCTCAAGTCCACTTTCAGAAGAATCACCGTTGGTGAAAACGCAACTGCAGAAAATAAGTTTGCACCTTATCAATGTCACAGGAAGAAGTTGAAGAAAGAAATGTTAAAACGCTTGCATTCCTTAAAAGGGATGAAAAATAACAAGTGCATAAACTCATCATCATTATCACTAGAGAACTCGGTGAAAGATAAAGAAAATAATCTTATGGTGGTTGTGAATGTGTTAAGAGAAGTAAGAGTGGCAACAATTTCTATTTTGGAATCTTTGATGTCACTTATGTCTATGCCAAGTCCAAATACAAGGAAAACAAATTATAAAGGGTATTTTGGTTCAAAGTTGATGAGAGCAAACAGCTTAAGTTCTTGGGAAAAATGCGACGCCATGACGCTGCAATGTGCCAATAAAAGATTGGGAGCAGTGGAAATGGCCATTGAAGATCTTGAAGGAGAGCTGGAATGTATTATCCGGCGATTGATTCGGACAAGAGTTTCATTACTGAATATACTTACCTACTAGGAAAGGAGTAATATTGAAAAATGACTTGCAAGTTGTCCGTGCCTACTTGCAAGTGCGCAAATAGGAGCTAGCTACCTATTATTTCAAGGGTTTTCCCATGCTCGTTGTTTGCCAGTTAACTAATTGGAACACTGACTGTAGTATTTGTGAATTCAAATCTTAGTTTGATATTCATATTCAGATGAAAACTAATTTCTCTGACGTAGGAGTATTATTTTCCCATTCTTTCATGTGTTGCTAAATAAAATCAAGGCAATCCGGCCCCTTTATATTTGTCAAAACTCTTAATTCTTTCTGTGTGTCACCTATATTTCGCAAAACTGTGAGCTCAAATTCGTTTAAGCGTTCAAGACGCCAAGTAGCATACACAAGGAAATCCAAAAATTAACAACAAAAGCAGAAACTCGGGCGTCGTGGTTCCTTTTTCGTGATTAAGGACTATTGAGTACCCTTTCTTACGATGAAATTAATTGTCGACTGATAGCATATTTGACCAAGCTTTTCCAAGACCAAAAGTATTTTTTTGAACTTTTTTAGAAGTTGAAGCGAAAGCTTTTAGAAGAAAAAAAAATTTGGCTAGAAGAGCAATTTTGGAGAAGCACAAAAAATATTTTCTCCCTAAAAGTACCTTTTTGAAAAGCACTTTTAACAAAACTACACTTAAAAACACTTTTAAAAGCTTGGTCAAACACTAATTGATGCTCATAAATACTTTTCAAACAAATATATGGCATGTGAATTATAATATAAATTTTATCGTTAGTTAAGTGATACTATATTCTTTCACTATATATGTATTGGTAAAATCTGGCTTTGACACGTGGATATAAATTACATGGCGACACGACATTAGTTGGGATAGGTTTTATCCGGGGGATAAACTAGCAATGCAACTCCGTCCCCGCGAGAAGTGTCTCCGACTAGGTCTTCCCCGGGAAACAAGAGAAAATATCTCGGTTAAGAGCTCCAAAGATGGTTCCAGGAATCCATTTGTGAAGCAACGACTCAGGGTCTGACTAGGTCTTCAACCGTCTCCGAAATATTAGGGATCCACTCACATTCACTAGGCCAGATACTTCTCCCACAACCCGGGAGTGTCTCGACCATTGCTAACCACCTAGAGCGACGTGCGGAAGTGAACATTAGGCTTAGGATACGTACCCCACTTCCCTCACTTGTAATTAATGCAGAGAGACGACTGAACTTACTCATACTAAAGGCTATTATATTTCTTGTCGGGCAGTCAATCTTTACTTTGCAAGTATTGTGGCGGCTCATAACAATACTCAATAAGATTACTCTTTCTTTTGCTTGTCTACTTTAATTACTTCATTATCGTTATTATTGCTCATTTAGTCTAATCATACGATTCAGTCAACTAAGCTTTAATTTCAACCGATTGCTATTGAGCTCATCAAATATTAATGTAATTGGCCTGAAACTATTTTTCAGTAAAACAATTTGGCGCATATCATGGGGCCCTAGCAACTAAGGATTTGACTCGGAGTTCTAGTTGTTTATTCTCATTAAGAGGGGTGTCTCTCACTCATTTGTCAATTTGTTTTCTATTTTGTAACACAGAATGACTAGAAAGAACGTCCAGCTAGCTGACCAGAGCAAGGCACCACAACCTTGTTAACAACGGGGGACTCCATGAATCCCCAGGGAAAGCAGGTCCCGCCTACGGGCAAGGAGATACCGGCTAATAAAGATGCAGCGCCCAGCAAAGGAGCTCACTCAGTAAGGACATGCCACAGCACAAAGACTTGTCCTTCAATACGGTCTTGCTGACTCGTAGCTTCACCGAGCAGAGTGGCGAATCCTCTCTGTCACCATGAACGTAAATAATGCGCTATCATTGGTTTATTTTCCGTCATTGTCGTATTTTTTTATTTTTATTTGTGGAGCCCTCATGAAAAAGACCTTGTGGCGTCGTCTAATATACTGCTATCAATCATGAACGAATAAAGAAAAATTCAACTACTTAGCCTCTACTTTCACTAACAAACAACGAGAAAACGTATATTCTTTGTTGGAAGATTTTCTTAAATTTAAAGTTCTCCACAATCTTGGCGTAAATCTTATGAACAGTTACCGGTAATCCTAAATTATGTCGATTACAGCCTAATTGCTCCATTTTTGGTCATCAATTAGCAAACATAATGTCTGATACCAACAAATTAAATTTTGATAGCCGCTAGATTGGCGTATTTCCCCTGCTAATTTTCAAACAACGATATCTTAACAACTATAGTGAGTATCAACTAATCAATCAGTGTATTTATTTTCTGTATTTCCCATATGGGAGGAAGTTTCCAAGGGGGGACAAAATTGGTGCCTTTAGCTGCTGCCAATTAGAGGACAACGAGAGTCCGTACAAAGAAGGATCCTTCCTGTCCTTTTTCCTCAGTTTTCAGATCTCACGTACTACTCCATCTTCTCATGACCAAAACTTCCTTTTCTGTGTTCCAAAACTTCCTTTTCTGTGTTTAACTATGGATTGCAAAGTGTTGACTTAAGCATCTAATCCCATCTCAAATTTCCCAAACAAGTTTAAAAAATCACTTCTTTTGCTCCAAGAAAATTCAATGGCCCTTCCCAATTTTGATGCTCTAAAGGACTTGCACGATTCGGCCAACGACATGCTTAATCACTCACCAGTTGAAATAGCGCATCAGGGACAAGAGAAATGGACTCACGAAGTTTCAGAAACATCATTAAGAATGCTAGACGTTTGTGGCACCACCAAAGATGTCCTTTTGCTCGTTAAGGATCATGTCCATGACCTCAAATCCACCTTCAGAAGAAACAGTGTTGGCGAAAATGCAACTGCAGAAAACAAGTTTGCACCTTATTATTGTCACAGGAAGAAGTTGAAGAAAGAAATGTTAAAGCGCTTGCATTCCTTAAAGGGGATGAAAAATAACAAATGCATAGATTTTTCATCATCATCACTAGATAACAAAAATAATCTTATGGTGGTTGTGAATGTGTTAAGAGAAGTAAGAGTTGCAACAATTTCTATTTTGGAATCTTTGATGTCACTTATGTCAATGCCAAGCCCAAATACAAGGAAAACAAATAAAGGGTATTTTGGTTCAAAGTTGATGAGAGTAAACAGCTTAAGTTCCTGGGAAAAATGCGACGCGATGACGCTGCAGTGTGCCAATAAAAGATTGGGAGCAGTGGAAATGGCCATTGAAGATCTTGAAGGAGAGCTGGAATGTATTATCCGACGACTGATCAGAACAAGAGTTTCACTTCTAAATATACTCACCTACTAGGCAACGAGAAATATTAAAAGATGACTTCTGAGCAAATTTATAGGAGCTAGATGATGATGTCCATCTCATTGAAGAAGTATTAGGCATGTGCCTAATAAGAGTTTTCTTTGGTTTGGTAGCCAACCTTGTTGACTTGGTTTGGTTGGTAGCCAACCTTGTTGAATTTCTTTGGTTTGGTAGCCAACTTTGTTGAATTGTGAAAAGTGTGTGTAAATTGTCAAATATGGTAGGCTTTAGAGAGTGAAACTTTGGCTATAAAAGGAGAGCTTCAACTCTCATTTCTTCACACCAACAAAGAGAGAAAGAAAGAGTGAGGTTTCACAGANGTAGGCTTTAGAGGGTGAAGCTTTGGCTATAAAAGGAGAGCTTCAACTCTCATTTCTTCACACCAACAAAGAGAGAAAGAAAGAGTGAGGTTTCACAGACAAGGTATAAGAAAATAGTCTGTGAGGAAAATAGAGAGTGAGCGATATTGTAGTGAGGTGAGAATATCAAAAGAGGGTTATTTCTTTTGAGTGTTGTAGTGGTCTTTGGAGTATTTACCTCCGACCTACAAAGTGTAAAATTCCTTACTATAGTGATATCAGTTGCTCCTCTCGGGGTCGTGGTTTTTTTTCCCTTATTCAGAAGGGTTTTCCACGTAAAAATTTTGGTGTCATTGTTACTCTTTTATTCTTGTTAATTACCGTATGTCGGTGCTACATTATTATTCCGCTTTATTACCGTGAATATTATTTTGGTAAGGGGTTTATTCCCAACACTAGATACCTATTATTCCAAGGATTTGTCAATGCTCATAGTTTGCCAGATTCTTAGGATCACCTGCGGAGCTCATTTGTTTGAAGCAATGATGCAGGATGGTTGAATTTAAATCTTTGTTTGATTCTTAAATTCAGCTCACAAGTAATTTAATTTCTACTAATTGCTCAACTTAATTTAGTCATTCTTTGATTTGTTGCTCATTAAAATCAAGGCGATCCCACTCAAGTTTGTCAAAAGCCCTCTATAAATTCTTTTAGGTGTAACAGCTACTTTTATAATGTTAGTTCTTCTAGTGGTTTTATTTCACCTACTTCCTTTATTTTGACAATTGAATAATAAATTATTGTCTCTGATGCTTTTTATCTTCATTTACTGCCTCTTTCAGATGCTGCTTCATAAAGTTTATTTTACTTTGCTCAAACCATTTAAGTGTAACAAATATTAATAATAGCCACTTCGCACTTAATATTGTTTTTAGTTTAATAGACATTAGTTGTTGAAAGATTATGAAGAATTAAAAGAGGATGTACAGAATTTTCTGTGTAAATTTATTTCATGGACTGCCCTATATACATATACAATCCTCTGTATATTCTATGTAACCAAAGAATTATAAAAGAAAATAAAATCTTGTGCAGTTGTCTAATTATTATTTGCTATCAATTAACAAACTAACTACATTTATTCTTTACAGTGCTATCTACACATCTCACATGTGTGGAAATAATTTGGGCATCCAATGCTTCACAGTTGTCCCTCACTTGATCTGAATGGTTGAGATTAAATCTATCAATTCCCTTATCAATGATTGTGGTTGCTCCATATATCAAGTTTTTTTTTTTTTTTGCAAATAAAACTTTCTTATTCCTTGTTATATATGAAACATCTTCCTTTGTCGAAAATTCCTTTTCCTTTGTCTGAAGCCCTAAATTCCCCTTCTTGCTTTCACTGAATCGTTCATGGGGCTTCTTCTCATCATCCCCCCTCAAGTTGGAGAGTAAAGAAGTGACCCCCAACTTGCTAAGAATAGAATATGTGAAGGTCCTGAGAGTGATTTAGTGAATAAATCAGCAAGTTGGGAGGAGGAAGGAACAAAAGAGAGAGTGACGAGGCTAGAGAGAAACTGCTGCCGAATAAAGTGGCAGTCCAATTCAGCATGTTTCGTCCTTTCATGAAAGATGGGGTTCCGTGCAATGTGAATCGCCGCCTTGCTATCGGAAAAAATAGGAACTGGCAGTGATGGTAAAATTGACAGGTCGTCAAGAAGACGAGTGAGCCAAGTGAGTTCGGCGACGACTCGGTGCATAGATCTATACTTCACTTCTGAAGATGATAAGGAAGTAAATGCCTGCATCTTGGACTTCCAATAAATTGGTGATGCATCAAGGGTGATATAAAAACCACTGACGGAGCGGTGACTCTCCATAAAAAATGCCCGGTCGGCGTCACAGAAAGCAAGCAGACGAAGAGATGGGTCAAAGTTCAAAAGAATTCTTTGGCCAAGATCTGATCTCAGATAACGCAATGCTCGAAGAGCTTCTTTGAAATGACAGAATCGTGGATTTTGCATGTATGGACTAAGCGTCAGCACTGCAAATGATAAATCCGGGCGTGTGTCTGTGAGATAGTTCAGTTTTCCAACAAGATGTCAATATACAGTGGATCCTGAAGAGAGTCCCCTTCATCTACAAACAGTTTGGAGGATGGATCAAGAGGAGATGAGACACAAGGCTGATCAAAAACGTCGAATTCCTTCAATAAATCCAAGGTGAACTTTCTCTGACAAACAATTATCCCCTGCTTTTCTCTGAGAACTTTCATGCCTAGAAAATAATGTAAATTTCCCAAATCTTTTACCTTGAACTCAGTATTAAGAAAGTTTTTGAGTTCTGTGATTTCTTATGGATGATTGCCACTAATAAGAATGTCGTCTACATAGACGAAAATAATACAAATGAAAGTCCCTTGCTTTTTGAAAAATATAGAATAATCATTTAAAGAAGGAGAATACCTTTTGAACCTTAGTGCACCGGCAAGCCAAGTATACCACTGCCGTGAAGCTTGCTTTAAACCATATAATGATTTCTTGAGGAGACACACATGATTAGGACTAGGAGAAGATAAGCCTGCCGGGAACTTCATAAAAACCTCTTCTTGTAAATCCCCGTGTAGGTATGCATTATTGACATCTAATTGATAAATAGATCAATTCTTCTTAGTTGCTACTGCCATTAGACATATGTCATCTTGACCACAGGGGAAAAGGTCTCAGTATAGTCGATTCCATCTCTATGTAAATCTCCCCTCACCACCAACCTTGCCTTCATTCTTTTTACAGTTCCATTAGAGTTGTGCTTTGCCTTGTATTTTCATTTACAAGGTAAAACCTTCTTGCCGGGTGGTAAAATAGTCACTTCCAATGTGTTATTAGCTTCCAAAGCTTTAATCTCTGAAAGAATTGCTTGTTGTCACCCTGGATACACAAAAGCTTGAGAAAAATTACTAGGTTCTAAAATTTCTGAACTAGATTACATGATGTGCTGATTGTGATTAGATAAAGCTCCAAAAGAATATACATGAGGTTTAGTAGGTTGAGCAAAACAAGATGTAGTCAAATCTGTGAGGTAAATATTACTGCAAACATAATCATTTAGTTGACTATGCAATTTACTCACTCTGGTTGACTTCCTAAGGATTGGAGTTGGAGTCTTACTCTATCCAGGAGTATCAGGAGAATTGCAGAAGTTATTTTTACTTTGTCCAAGAGAATAAAGGGAATTATAGAAGTTATTCTCACTCTGTCCATGAGTATCCAGAGATTTATAGAAGTGATGTGAGTTGACTAAGCTAGACTAGGTGATGAGGGTAAGACAATTTTAGGTTCCATTATACATGGCGTTGGATTAGGTGGTGAGTTATCAAGAGGTGGGGAGATAGGAAGTATGGGATTTGTGGAAGGGGCAGATGTAGCAAATGGATACTTGGCTTGATGGAAATGAACATCCTCGGAGACAATGTTCTTCTTGGTATCCAATTCTAGCAACTTGTGACCCTTTTAACCCAAAGGGTAGCCCAAAAATACACACGCCTTTGCTATTGGGTCAAACTTACTTATACCATTAGATAAAGTAGAAACATAATAAAAACAATCAAAACTTCTAAGAGAATTATAAGAAGGGGATATCCAAACAGCATGAAATAAGGGGTTTAACCTTAAGTACTTTAGAAGGCAGCCCGTTAATTAAGAATGTAGCAGTCAACAAACACTCACCCCAGTAACAAATAGGAACTTGTGATTGAAAGATCAATGCTTTTGCCATTTCCAAAAGATGTCTATGTTTTCTCTCAAGTATGTCATTTTGTTGAGGGATTGCAACACAAGATGTTTGGTGAATTATTCCTTGAGAGGAAAGCAAAGCAGCGTCTTGATATCCTTTCCCAAGCTCAAAAGTATTATTTGTCCTTGGTTTCTGCACCTTCACACCAAAATGTCTTTTAACCATTGTTAGGAAATTCTTTAGTACCCCAAAGGCATTACTTTTGGTACTAATCAGGAAAGTCCAAGTCCATCTGCTGAAATCATCCACAATAGTTAGAAAGTATTTAAATCCATTATAAGTAGGAACTTTGTATGGACCCCAATATCAACATGTATTAACTTAAATACTTTTTTGAATTTAATTTGACTTAAAGGAAAAGGATTCCTAGTTTTCCTAGCTTTAGGCATATATCACCTAAACATTCAGAATTGGAAGGAAATAAAATAAAACTGAGATGCTTTATTGATGAAAAGGCAAATGCCCCAATCTAATGTGCCAAAGGTTTACATCAGAGATTGCATTTACAGAAAATTGAAAAGGAAATGAAACATGACTAAAGACATTCTGTTCTCATGTTTGAACTACATTTTCTTGATTCATAGACTTAGTACTATCAACATTAGGCTCCAAGGGCCTACAAAAGACATTGACTAGATAAGAATGAGATAACGCAATAAAATTGTGAACAAAATTTATTTAGTGATAATAAATTGTATCTGAGTAACTGTGACTTTGAAAGAATTAGGAAGATTAATATTTATAGGAACTGGAAGAGGAGATAAAGAGATAAAAGCAATTGAGTAAAAGCACATGTATTCTGAAGCCCCTGAATCTATAATCGACGTGCTTGTATTAAAAACTGAGAAACAGGTTCCAAAATATTTGATAATTGTACCAACTACAACATTTTCATTAATATCTGAGGTACAACTCCCTGATTCTCCCACTTTGACTTGTTTGATCAACTGAACCAAGTGTAAATATTGATCTTTGGAAAGATGTTGATTCAATATTTGATTGTAGTTATTGTTGTTTCGATCTTCCCCTTGTTCTCCAGATAAAACTCCATTGCTCCTGATTGTTTCCTAATTTTCTTTTCCATTAGTGAACTTAAACTCCTCAAAAAACCATATGATCTTATAATAACCAGCCACAGAGTGCCATGTCTTCTTGCAATAGGTGCAAGATACATTAAGGTTAAAACATTTGCCTTCTTTCCTTTGAAAGTTGAGGTCCTTCGTGGTGGAAACCTAGGCTTCTGATAATTATTCTCATACTTCTGAGACTGTCCAGTAAACCTTTGTGACTGCTTCCCATTCCTTTGTGGAAAATTACCTTGAATTGAATTACCTTGATTCCCTACCATGAATGATGAAGACTCAGGATAAATGGGAGGATTAGCACTCTTTGATTTTCATCCTTGAGAACAAGGGAGTAGGCATGATTTATGTTGGGTAGAGGGTTCATCATGAGTATATTTCCCCTTGCATGACCATATATATCGTTCAATCCCATAAGGAATTGAATGAATCTTTCATCTCTAGTGACTTCTCTGAGTTTTGCTTACCTTCACAAATACATAGGCAATTGCATTTGACATCAAAGTTAAGTGAGTCCAATTCATCCCACAATCTTTTGAGTTTTGTGAAGTAGCTTGCTATGTCATTTGTACCATGTACTAATCCAGATAGTTCTTTCCTCGGGTGGTACAATTTTGCTCCGTTTGATTGACCAAACTTGTGTTCCAAGCTTGTCCAGAGGTCTTTTGCATATTTTAAGTAAATTACACTATCTCCAATGTCTTTGGACAGTGAGTTCAGCAGCCAAAATATCACCATGTTGTTGTATCTGCTCCAAGTTGATAATCTATTGAAGTGAGAGTAGGTGGAGGGCATGAACCGTTGAGGAGGGCATGAACCGTTGATAAATCCTAATTTATTTTTAGCTGAAAGGGCTATTAGTACTGATCTTCTCCGGCCCTGAAATCCTCTCCAATCCAAAGCAACATTGACAAGTGTCATTCTAGGAGCATTACATGAATGAAGAAAGTAAGGATGATCTTGATCAATGGAGACAACA